GTAACAATTCTCTCAATTGATTTGGACAAAGCATTTGACAGAGTTGGTCTTCATGTTATCTTAAGACTCTTGAAATCATGGAATGTTGGACCCAAATTCTTCAACTACATCAAATCATTGATGTCGCATCGGCGTTTCAGTTAGAATCAACAATCATCTTTCTGATTCTTTTCCGCTAATGAATGGCATTCCGCAAGGATCTCCTGTCTCTGTCATGCTTTTCCAGATCGCTTTCAACGAAATTAGCAATATTCTTTGCCGTGTACCAAGAGTGGAACATTGTCTCTACGCGGACGATGTATACATTTTTACAAAAGAAAAAGACGCATTGCCTTCGGTTAAAAAAAACTCCCTTTTAACAAGGGTAAATTTCATACAGTACGTTGCTTGGAGAAGCCATGCGCATATTAACACTATTGCTTATCTTACCAAAATGCTTGTGTTAAGCAAGATTGACTATGCTTTGATAATTTATGGCAATAGCTGCAAATCTAATATCAACATCCTTAAACCGGTCTATCACCAAGCCGTTAGAGCAAGTTGTTATGCTTTTCGGACGACGCCCATAAATAATATTATAATTGAAACTGGTCTCCCAACTTTAGAAAGTAGACTGTGTGAGTTAAAAGCTAAAATAGTCCCCAAGCTTCTTAATTCAAACAAATCCATTCTTGGTGATGACGTAAGAAAGATTATTATTGCGAAGAAAATTCCAAAGTCACCATCTGCAATTGACCGTTGTTTGTGCATCACAAAGGAAATGAACATTCCCTTCAAAATTTCCCGCTCTTTTGGAGTTAAACCTCCCTGGATTTTGAAAGACTGCTCTTTTGACATCTCACTGTCTATGCACAAGAAAGAAGATACTCCAAATTACGTCTTCAGGAATCTAATAGCTGAGAAAACCCAAGTATTGGACAATACTGGTTGGAATCTTTTGTACACAGACGGCTCAAAATCTCCTGGTCTGCCTGCTGCTTGTGCGGTGGTACATGCTACAGGACGGGTTCTTCTCAACCACATATTTCACGAAAGCACTTCAACTTTCATAACCGAAGCCAGAGCTATCCTTCACGCTGCCAACCTTGCCCATAAAAACAAACTCAAAACCGTCATTGTTGTTGTTGTAGTGTGTTTGTCTGTATTACAAGCTATTCGGAACCCTTCGACTTTGAGATGGAGCACCATCAACAAATTAAGGAATATAATTACTACACCCGACGGAAAAATTAAAATGTTATGGGTACCAAGTCACATCGGTTCACTGGGAAATGAGCAGGCTGATCGAGCGGCAAAGTATGCTGCTTCTGCTCCTCTAATTATGGATGATGTCATGGAAAAGTTGGATCTTCAAAGATACATTGGAAGAAAAGTTAAAGAGAAAATTGAAGAAGGAAATTTACAATACCTTCATCAACACTACTCTTGAATTAACCCTCAATGTTGAGAAAATCAAGATCCAAACATTTTCGAGAATTCGCCTTGGTCATACAATTGCAACTCACCAATGGATCCTGAAGAAGTCTTCTCCCCCAATCTGCTGTTGTGGACAAACTGTTACTATAAAGCACATTCTCTGCGACTGCCTCAACTTTTCCTTTGCTAGAAGTATTGCATTTGGAACGATTAATCCTTTGAACATTCTACAATCAGCTTCAGAACAGAATATCTATTCAATATTTTACTTTATTAATACTACTAAGCTTATTATCTAATATCCATTTATTTAAATTAGAGCCGATAGCCTGTGTTGCTAGTGCTCAATGTCTTTTTTTAGTCTAAGAATTCAATTCATTAGTCTAAAATTAAAATAATAATAATAATAATACAAAAGATGTCTTGCGCAATTGATACTCGATATACGAACAATAACACGTAATCAGAATCATTTTTACTTTGGTTAAATATTAAATTTTATAAAAATTCATAAGCTAATTACGCAGCTATTTCAAAACTTTCGCCATTTACATTCAACAACATATATATGTGATATAAAGTACACTACTATGATGTATATAATGAGTGTTATCTATAGAACTTTGCCACTCAGTCATTAATGAAGATTACCTTATTGAGCTAATGTAATGGTATTGGTCTTAACGCATAAATTAAATCCAGTCAAAAAGTTAGCAATGCTCTCGATGTATGATCAATTCATGAAGCAGACATATTGTCCGTAGTTTTAATAAATCGTCAAACGTGGCATGAAGCAAACGACTGATATATGTATTGACTGCTTGCTTCATATCTGTTTAAGTAATATACATAGCAGGCAAAATTGTCTGTAATCTTATTGAGGATTCGTTTAGATATGTAATTATCATTCGTGCACAACTAGCATCCAGGGAGCGGAGCAACAAAGGAGCGTTGTTAGGGTCAGAGACGTTTTATTTAATAAAATTCGAATATTTAACGTTATACACGATGAAATGCTCTTTCGGCGATCGTAAAAATCTGTAGAATGTCCTCGATTTTTTACCCTCCCTTTTCATATCACTATCAGACCCCATTAATTAGACGTTCATGCTCATTAGTCAGTTTTGTGCGGAACAAACAATAGCCTAATAACTTTAGTTATTGAAAAATTGAAGAAGAAAATTTAACTTTATTAAGTTTGGAAAACGATGGTTCAGGTTTTCGGATGTTTCCTCTTTTAAATAAGCATTTGCATAGGAAAGGCTATAATTTTATTATTATTATATTTTATTATATATATATATACATATATATATATTATAGATATTATTAGGCGATTTGGCAAGGCATACAATAGGTGCTCCTGCCCCATTATAAAAGTCTTTACTTGTTTATCTATCGCGCTTGTACTCTGACTATGCTTATTTACTATTTTCATTTTAATCATGAAGTCGAACGGCTTTATATGGTAACTTTGAACCCTTTATGCTACTTTTAGTGTCTCTAGGGTTCTAGGCGTCTATAACTTCTAAGATTTAAAACTGTTGTCGTCATGAACGAATATTTCATTTCCACTTCTTTTGACAGTGTGTGAAATGAAATGCTGTTAACCTCCGAAACATAATACGGGTGAGTGCATTTAATTTCCGGACAAGTTGTTTCTCGTAATTGTAAGCTTCCTAAAAAGATGTTAAAATTTTAAAAATCAAAATTAAAATTATATACTTAGGTAACGGGGACCATGTCTCTATCTCTTTCCTCGCTCATTTCTAACCCTCATTATGTTACAAGAAAATGCGACATCCCCATATATCTCAAAGCATAACAGTCCGAACTATTGAGATCACGGAAGTCTAGTCGCTCAAGGACAATTTCTTGGCGCAGAATGGCCGATCGTAGTTTTATCGCTTGCACTTTGTGGAGAATGTCTTCTTTGCGATCACTTGAAATGCGGTTTCGGGAGTTTTGCGATGGTTGCTCCAGCGAGTGCATTAATTAATGAATGTTAAATAGTCTTACCCATGTACAGAGAGGACGAAACAGTCCATGTTCCTCTTCTCACTCTGCAGTCTGGTAACACTGATTCCTTCTAACTGTTGGCAGTTAACCTACAGACCGGGGGATGCCGATTATCGTTTTGTGTTATCGGTCCTAAACGCAATAGATGTCCGCATAAGATCAACGGAGAGAGTAAGTTTCCGTTCGTATATCTTCGCGTTCATTTTTACCTCGTGCGAGGATGTGCAATAATTTTTTGCATTATGAATGTTTGCATTCTAACTAATGTCACAACCGTTTACGTTACGAGTTGATTCTGTACAACATGTAGTAAAAGATCGAATACATTTTATGTAAATATTTTTTGATAGAATAAACTATCTGTAATTTTGAAATTTCTAGAGAAAAATCTGCAATTTTTTTTTTTTTTTTTATTATATAAACAGCATGGACAGCATTCTTCCTACTGTTTTGTAGAGCATAGTCTTATTAAGTATAAGAGCACAGATGCTCCTTTTACAGAAAATTAAAAATTCGAATACAAATCTGCGCAGTGTTTAGGCTTTTGCCAAGAATAATTGTAAAATGTGATAGCGAAAAATTTGGTAAATATTCTTTCATCCACGTAGTCAATTATAACTGGGTACAAGTTTGTTCGCTCCAAGGCCCGGTCGTGTGTTCCAACTCGTACATAGCCTAATATTGTAAACCACAAATTCATGTATTTGATCGACTAGCAGTTGAATATCTTAAAGACAATTTTTTATAGTGTATTCTTTATTACGAATTACGTAATCCTTGCACGAGAGTTTATTAAAGTTTTCTTACACATCGAATTAGAATGGAATCACATTTAAAGATAGGGAAAAGGTACTATTACTTGCTGCAATTTTCCAAGTAGAATAAATGTAAAAAAAATTATAGCAAATGACTTCGATTTTAATAGGAATTTTTAAAAAATTAAATGTTTTCGTTTTTCATAACAATTTGCCTTCAAAATATATAAGTCTTTACGGATTTCGTAAAACTTCATTAAATAGAGAAAGTTTATCCATTATACCATCATATAAAGGTTAACTTCCTTTTCGAATAAGCATTCTTAAGACAAATCTGTCCTTGTACTTTACGTATGTGCTTGTGCAAGCGAGAAAATTAGATTACATTTTCAGATGGTTTCTTAATCTGTGTGCAAATGCATGTTCTTAGGTTGACAAGTTTTTACATTACAAATATATGAGTGCATGGGTGCGTGTTTTGGCAACAAGGCAAATACGGCGAATTTATATAAAACATGATATGCAATAGTCAGTCCGACATTAATGACCGTATGGTTAGAAAGCATTTTGCGAACACGATCGAAAAATGAAAAAGAAGAAGAACAACTGCAAGATACCGCAAAGGATCTGAGATAAGCATTTCATTATCAAATTACTCATTTAGTATTCCGAAGAGACGTGCTGGCAACCAAGCAAGCTAGCAATTTTTCCATTAAAATATAAATACAATTTTAAGCTACATTTCCTTCCGGCACAAACTTGATTCTAACGTGATAAAAAATTTTTTCTGGTTTGCATTTTGTTTTGTAGGAAATCATCAATCACGTGATGACGAAACTCATTCAGTGTCTCACTCGGACGTTACTGCTACACCACGTTCCCGTCACACCTATATTGACGATACGTATGCTACTAGTTTGCCACCCGATTTGTTAGCTTTTCCAGCTCGTGTACCACCCACATCACCCTCAATGCAATCTTCGCAATCCAATATACCTGAACAAATTATCTATGGTATACGTTCGCCACCATTAACAAGCCCAGTATATGCTCATATGACACCACACGGTATTTATGGTACAACAGCTATGACTGCCGCTACACCAAACGGTTTCATGACGTTGCAACACCCGAAAACACGTAATTTAGCATTGATTGCTGCCGCAAATAGTCGTCAACAGCAGTCACCTTTTGTGCCAGCACCGGTCGTCTATTCACCGTCTGCCACAACGGCGGTTGTAATGAAACAAGGTTATATGACAATACCGCGTAAACCGCGTGTACCCAGCTGGGCACCCTCCTCCTCGGCTACACACTCCACACAATTGGGCGAATTCCAATCGCCCACATCGCCTAATCCAAGCGAAACGGGCACGGCAGCCACCGCTGAACTAACAGCCGAACCTGTCTATGATAATTTAGGTTTACGAACCACAGCAGGTGGCAGTTCAACATTGAATTTGAACAAAAGCCAATTACAAGAACTGCCGGTACGTTATAATATGAGAGATCGACCGTTGCCGGCTACTCCTAGTTTAACATCGGTAAACTGCAGTCAAATGCAACAACAACAACAACAGCAGCAGCAGCAACAGCAGCAACAGCAACAACAACAACAACAACAACAACAACAACAACAGCTTTCACAACCACTGAAACAGCAACAATTACATCAACAGCAAGCGACAAGTGTCGCAAATATTTCGACTGGCACGGCGTCTGCAAGTAAAATCTACGAACCCATACATGAACTGGTCAATCAGCTAAATCAGACAACGACGTCGGACACGGAGCCGCTTTATGGAACAGCAAGACATCACGCCGGCATGAAAATTGTGCCCAGTAATAATAACAGCACAAACATTAATAATAATAATATCAGCAACAGCAATAACAACAATAATAACAACAACAGCATTCTTACAAACAATAGCGCATCATCATCCTGCGTGGAAGCGAAATTGGCAAAAATACCACCACGACCACCACCAAAACCGAAAAAGAAAATGTCCGTAACGGCATCACGTAATGGCCAGGGTAGCACAAGTCAACTGTTCGATGACGAAGGTGAAGATGGTACGGAAGTCTAGTTAGTTTTGAGCAGCGAAACCAAAGCTGAACCACAGCTTGGACAATTAACTTGCTAACAAGTAACAAACGTAATGCCTTCCTTTCAAATCAAACATGTAATATATTTAAAAAGAAAAAGCGATAAAGAAACAGCAAGAACAACAACAAATTTCATGCATATACACATAATACATACATGCATGTAGTATATAAGTATACATATAGGTAGAGTGCTAAAGCAACAAACCTTGCAAGGAAAACGCCACCACTTATACGGTGTCGGTTTTATTTCCATTCATTCATGTTTTTTTTTTATTTTTTTATATGTTTTCTCGTTTTACTTTTCATATTTTCTTTACATACGAATCAATACGAAATTGTCTCTACGTGTTCATTATACACTTGGCCCATAACCGACGACGCCTTTCGGTGTAATTGCTGTAACTCGACAGAGATGATATAAAGGATGTGAACAGACTATAAAACAAAAGCTTCACTTTTAAATATATTTTTATTTTCAAACATCTCATCATGTTTGCTTTCCTTTAATAAATGGTGTGAAAGTTTTAAATTGCGATGTTTGCGCAAAATTAATGTAAAAATACAGAAAACGCATTTCTTCGTTTTTTTTCGTTTCTTTTTTTTAAAGTTCTGATTATAAGGAGGAAAAGATGAACACAAGTAAAAAGCAAATCACAAGAACTGAACAATAATTTTTCATATATATGGTTGTTGTTGCGCTGTTTGTTTGCTTTAACTCAATGTTGTAATTACATAAATACATACATACATGCATATATAAAAAATATTCATATGAATCACATATACATATATATATACAGATCATTATGTATATTCGGAGTGCGATGTAGAAAAAGAAATTATAATTCTTAACGATTGGTTTTTATAAAAAACTCAGATTTCTCTCCAGTTATCAATTGTCATTAAATTATTTTTCAAAATTTTGGTGCTAAAAATTTGGTTGCTACTAGTGCTGATGGTTACTGTGAAAACTGCGCAATTAGTGCGGTTTTTTTTTTTGTTTCATATTTTTCATTTTTGAGATATGATGAAGAGGAATATTGTCAATATTTCAATTTTTCCATTAGTGCGCTTTTGTTCGCTTTTAAGCTACAAATTTAAGTAAAACAACAACAAAAGCAAAAAAAAGAAAAATAAGGAAAAAACATTCGTTTCGACATGCAACACTTGAACACTTTCAGGGTTTTAACAAGAAATAGCAAAATAATTTTTTTGTTGCTTGCATTTAGGCGCAAACAGCCTTGACACTTTGGTTTGCCTCAGTCAAAATTGAGAGAAACACATGCCTGCCCACTTATGCAAACGTACTCAAAAAAAAGGTCTGAAATTTTTTTCGTATGCCATGTTAAACAACCTTATCGAGTGTTTTGTTAATGGCCTCCTTTTTCTCCATTCATTTTATTTGAATTGACAGAAGAACAGTTCTATAAGATTTATTTTGAAAAATGTGAAAAAAAACATTTTTGTTTTTAAATCAAAATAAATCGTCTTAGAAATATTTTATAAGCAAAACGAAAAATATCTATTACTTTCGTCTGATTACCAGGATCTTGAGCATATATCTGTATGATTTGTCTGGTGATAGTCAAAAATACCTATGATTAGAGAATGATTTATAGAGTACTCTGTGTGGGTCGAATAGTTCACGCTTAACCACATGTTTTTAGGTGCAGCTGCAACTTACAGTGCCTATCCGATATCGTTGAACGCTATGGTGATCAACTATGACGCATCGGTCACTACGACGGCCAAGCCGCAATCAAGCTTGCTAGGTTCTTGCCTAGAGCTAAATTCGAAATTGAATCAATTTTGTATTAGCCCACGACCTTATAAAGTGAGTTTTTATAAATAATTACGATTTTCTACTGAGCGATAGCCTTTAAGGTAAAAGAAACTAAAAGTATTTATGTTTGTAGTTTATTAGCCTCCTTTCATCTCTCTTATGCAGAATGTTTTGAAAAAGAGTTGCAATTTCAAATTTCTCGCCATTCCTTGGACTATCAATAAACAAGCATCATTGCGATGATATTTGATAAGTAAACAATAAGAAGTTTTAAGATACAGTTGCTGACTGGGAGTTGGAAATGCATAAAGAGGCTCACAATTTCCAAGAAAAATTATTCCAAGTGTTGACCACTATTCTTATATTTCCGGAATCGAATACTGAAAGGAAATAATCAAATATCTACTTCAAGCATGAGAAATTACTGAGGTGGTGTGGTGGTCTCCTGGGCTGTCGGTGTTATTTAGCCACAATTTCTAGAAAATGCTGGTAATTCCATAATTTTGGCGAATGAATGCGTTACCGAATATTTTATATGGCCTTTTTCTTGTCGGAAAGTAATGCTCTCGATATGGACGATTTCTAATTTCAGAAAATCTTGTATCGGCTTACGTATCGGGTTTTACAAGTTCATCTTTTTCCTCGTGATGGAAACTGTTACTAGAAAATTTTTTAGACAAAATGAAGACGTTGAACATTGAAAGTCTTTTAAGCAAAACAATGCAAGATCTTGCATGATAAGTATTAATTACTTTCACAATTTTAGTCCCCTAGTCAACCCTAAATTGGTCAGTTTCGTTACGAGAGAAAATAATTTATTAAAATTTATATAAAATTTAAATAAAAGTTTTTAGTGAGGCAATATAAGGGATAGTAAACTCAACAAAGATAGTTTTTCCCTCAATTTCCCTACTGAGCATGGTTTATAATTTGATCACTTTTAATATAATACTATCTAATATTGGAACATTGAAAAAAAAAAAAAAAATCGATTACGTTTGTCGGCTAAATGAAAGAAAGTAACATCAGGTTTCAAAAATTTCTATTCCTTAGCCGAGTAGATTAGTGGCAAAATTAAGATGTCAATCAGTTTTCTTACGATTTAAATATTTTATAGACAATATCATTGTAACAGCCTAAAAAAAGTGCTCTTTGGTCACTTTTTTTTAGCGTTGAAGAAAAGATAATGAAACAATACCCGATAAAGTACTCGACAAAGCTATTAAGCATATATTCAAGCCTTAGGATAAATATCTGTCAAATATTAAATGATGGCAAAGGAAAAGCCATTCTCGCCAGGCGTCTTCAATTTATGAAGCTGTGCAGGTTAGCAATACGGCTTGTGCAAATGCGAGTCAAAAAAAATCATGAAATCTACATGCTTATAGTTAGAGAACAACTAACTTTCTCCGGTCATGCTGTGGCGCATATGAGAGGTGAGAGCAACAAAATTTGAAACATGTTGAAGGACGCAAGTATGACGAAACCCAGCTGCATTATACATTATTTTCTTTTACTTTTATTTTTAGGTTGGTGTGATATAATATGAGAAGAGAATTGTTAAAAATGATAGCATTCGTTAGTTACAAAAAAAATTAAATTTTTCATCAATTCGTAGTGCAACACATCCGAAATTTGATCATTTCATATTTAAAAATATCCCTTCTTCTTCTTCTTCTACGTTAAAAATTCCAAAAGAATTTGTTTAAATGGTTAGGCCGTCTGGCACATACCAGGGACGATCCACGTGCGACTCCTGGTGCGATGAGGCAACAAATCGTGCTCAACTGCGTATAAGTTAGTGCAAAATGCAAACTGCAATGCAATAACGGCGTCTTCAATAATGTCTTAGGATGGTTGCCGAGCAAACAATAGCAGTATTAAAATACTTTTTTCTGTTGTTTTTTTTTTCAATTTCAAATGAAAGAATGCAAGGAAATGACACTCTTGACATTTACTGCCCCTGCAGTTTAAAAGTTATCTTAACTGTTCTCGTTTGATTGATATGATCTACAATTTTATCATTTTGAACGTTTCTATCCTGTTTAGCGTTGCGTATAGAATAAGTTAAATCTTTCAGCATTATTTCTAAACCGTTTAGAATCGTTTTCGAAATCGATTTAAATTCCTCTGTCTGTCTGATCGTTTTCCATGTATTTTTGTGTTGAATCTACAAGCGGCAGCATCTGAGATGATATGATGAAATTTGGCACACTGATGCCAAAGCCCAAGGATAAACCCTTTTAAATATCTATGGCACCCCCACTTTAAAGGTCACTTGGATCCAGCCAAAGGATATCAATACTAAGGGACTCTATTCAAAAACAAACAGATGCAAATGAGCTGAAAAACGGACGCAATATGCCAAATATGTCATAATTTTGTAATATTTCAACATAATGACATACGGCCCTATATGCCGACGCTTCCAAAAGTAGTCTTAGCAGGACTAAACGTGACTGCGCTTGATATTGACGCGCTATATGAAATTGCTCGCAGGCATAAAACAACTTTGAGACAGAACGCTGAGAAAACTTTTGGTTACAATTAAGACAACGCCAGCGGTAAAGTTCTTGGTAGTTTTTGTGAAAAGAATTTACCTTAAAAATTTATTTGATCAAAACACTTGCATCATCCACAAAGAAAGTCCATAAATTCGTTAAAGCAAATATATATACATTTGATCAATATTAAATTGCGAATCGATTTAAACATGTCTCTCACTCCGGCTGGCTATCTAATAATTACCTGTACTAAACGAAGATCCAGATGCGTAAAATAAAGATATCGGGTTCACATTACGAGTCCAAATAGGTAAAAAGAGGTGCTACAAATATGAAAAGTCCGCCACCCGCATCCAATATATATTTTTTATAAATATTTTTTTTTTTTATCCAATCCATCTAAGCACATTCGTCCGCCCACTTGCTTTGCGGTAAACGATCGACCGTTCGCAAAAATGAAATTGTCATCTTCAATGTAGTCTTTTGTGGATATAAAAGATTCAAACGAATACAACTGTCTCACTTCTTCTATAACAAAATTAATGCTGGGCGGTTTTATTGTGACTTTCACTCCGCAATACCGATTTCGAAACAAAATCACAAAACCTATGACCAGAAAACGCATCTTATAACCTAATGAACTATTACAAGGCCAGAATACGGCTATTATTTATTTATTTATTGTCTAAGTATGGATTCGAAGGTTGCCGGATAACTTAGACCATATGCTCGCTAGCAATGAAAACTCCACTGCACTTGAGGTTTATACCCGTGACCATTGAGTTGTTAGTCGCGATACTTTGCCTACCCATGAGGATAATATAGCTACCCATGCCGATAATATGGCTATTGCTTTTATGTCTAACAATTGTTTCAATGTGGTTAAACTATTTCGTATGAAAAACATCCTTATTATTCAAAATGTACAAACTAATGAATATGTGACAAGAAAAATAGGCATTTTAATAGCGATAGAGCTGTTCGCAGACATTAACTTTTTCTTTATCCGTACTCTAAGCAGCGTTATGTGTGCGTTTGCGAATGTATATATTTATGGACGTATGCGTATATTTGCACGAAAATAAGATTTTTGATTTATTCTCAGAAGCTGACAACCCTGCATGACGGTGAGAAACGTTTCTTTGCATGGAGCAATATTGGAATATATGAACCGAACAATTTTTATACTCACCACCGAAGCAAGATATTTTTACTAATTTCGTATCGTATTCTGTTTTTTTTTTTTTCAGTCAGAAATATCTATACGAGGTTTAATATCGCACATATGTTTGTTCTCGATCGGCGCAAAATGATGAGTTAGTTTTTCCATGTCCGTCCATCGGCCCACTTGCTTTTCGAGCTTTCGAACAAAGATGAAAAAAATTGAATTGAAATCTGAAATATGTGGGTGCAACCTATATTCCCATTTCAATTCAAGAATTCGTGTGAATACTAAGTATAAAAATAAACAAGAAAAAAACTTAAAAATGAATAGAAGAAATTTGAAAATATTGTAATTGATAAATGATATCCCACGACAAATACTGATCTGAAATTTTGTACAACAATATAATATGCAATTTTTATACATTGACTTAAGGTACGTGTGGGCATCCAGGATTTTCTTGCTTGTTTTCTCATATGTTTAATTTAAAGCCCGATTTATGTGCCAAATGACTGATGCATAGTTTCTAGGAAATTTTAAAGCAACTTAACTTTTTTTACTTAAAAAAAACATTTTCTATTTTTTTTATTTTTTATTAAATTGAACATATTTGCAAACATTTAATTTTAGAGTATAAGAAGAGAAGAAAGAAATATATATATATATATATATATATATATATATATATATTATATATAAGATTAATTATTATATTTGAAAAAGAAAAAACAAAATTTATTTTAGATTAGTTTAGTTCGGCATCCATATAAATGAATGCAAAAAAGTAAAGAAAAAACCCGAATTATAAAATAAAACAAAACTTAAAAATAGACGAACTTAACGAAACGCGGTATAGAGTTATTGTTAGATCGATGGTATGGTATATTTATATAGGTAAGTCGGGGTAAATAATTCTCTAAGACATTGTAATGTCTATGTATATTTTATAAATATTAGCTGTAAAACAAATATTTGTAATTAAATTTTAAAAATAAAGCAAACATTTACAGCATAGCAAATAAATCCTATATTGAAAGCGTGTATGACTTGTATAGATTTCCAAAAAAAAAGAAAAACATCAAAAAAATGAAATAACTAACAAAGAAAAAATGCAGTTATTACATTTTTAAATGCAAAAGAGATTCTTAAAAAAAAAACAAAGAAAAAAATATTAATTAATATTATCGAATGCACCTTATCAATGTTCATATGAATACTAAAGAGTATTACAAGTTCGTGTTTTTCTTTTCGAATTTAAATGTTCATCCATTAGTCTTTACATTTAGCTTATGTAACTATCATATATAATAACATATATATATATATATTCCAATGCATGTATATATTTACATATATAATTTTTATGTACAAAATGCTTCCAAATACTCAAATCGAATTCCTTATTAACAGTTCATAATGCACCAATTGCGCGACAATTGCAAAAAACTGTAACCGTAGCCTCGATTTTAGAGCAACTTTGACATGGTTTTTTCAAACTTCATTGATCTTTTGCGCAATAGATGCGTTTTATTCTCATCCCACCACCAGTATGATAACTTCTGCGACGTCCTGGCATTTAGAAAACATTCGTAAAGATCGGAAAACTTAGTTTCGTACGCTTCGTTGGCGAAAATACGTACATCGCTGCAACAATTTAACATATTTACATGGAACTTTACATAGATGTCGAAGACAATACTAGCTCTCCAAAATAAGAAAAAAGATCTTTTTCGTAGTATTGATCGCAGTAGTAGATTTCGTAGTACCTACCTCTTTCTTTGATTCACATTATTGTGTATCTACTGGCACGTCGCCTGTTTTTGAAACATTCACGTTTGAAAGAATTGAGATAAGAAAGCAAAATATTTCAAGCATATCTTCAATGAAAACCTATAAAACGAAGTGCCCGTGAAGCGGCGACATTCACTCCTACGGGGAATAAAACACTACAACATACAATTCACAGCGACAAAAAAGTGAATATATAACGAATGAATAAAATGTATAATAAAATGAAGTAATTTAAAAATATTTTTCAGCGTTAGTTACAACCTGTATGTTCTCATACAGGTTTAATTAAGCTCATACTGCTCGACTGCGCTATTTACATTAGCGTAGGTTTTATTTGCAAAATTGGACAAACTTATTCACAGAAAATTGTTTAGAGACGTTTATTTCCAACAATACTTTTTTCAAACAGACAGTTTTTATACCCGGCACTGTAAGCTGAGAGTATATTTTTCTTGCTTTTTTCTATAATGTACGTAACATCCATAAGGAAGCTTCAGAGACTCTATACAGTATATGTGTTCTTAAACAGCGTGAAATTCTGAGTTGATTTAGCCATGTCTGCGTGTCTGCGTGGTGTGTGTTTTTAGCATTCTCCTGGTAGCAAAAATGAAGATATCTATTTCAAACTTGGTAAAAACATTCGAAGTTTTTGCACGTAGGTTGATATTGAAAAGGGGCCCAATTGGCCCGAGCAGAAGCGCACAGTGAAGCGTACACTGAACGCAACTCTTTTCTTAGTAAAAATTTCTGGATTTTTGCTCGTTACTCGGAAATTGTTACAGTTAGAAATCTGAAATTTTCCACATTTGCTGTACGAAACACTCTGCTCCTTACCCCCAAAAATGGAAATAATCGGCCATGTTCACACAAAATCACGAGGAATTAAATTTAATGTTTTTTCAATTTTTTGAGGTTTTGTGCTTATTTATCGTAAGGCAAACAAGACAGAACGTTTAAAACTATTTTGCACGCTGCTCAAATGACCATATGTTATCTGCCTAAAAATGGGTTAATTTTAAAATGAATATGGTAGACATCGCGATACATTTTTTCTTAATAATACTAGCGGTATGTGTATCAAATAAAAGAATTTGGGGAGTAGAATACGAAAAGCATATTCGTGAGTATGCGAGATTTTGCCCCCTCCGAATATAACTTTCTTATTTGTTTTTATTTTTACATAAGAGAATGCAGCCAAGAATAGGCAGATGTTCGGGAAATCTGCGGGTTTTTTTTAATCCCTCGAATGAATCATTTTTGTTCAGCATGTGAGAATTGAAACAGTTCTTTGGTAAATTTTTCGGAACGGAAGAGACGGTATTCAAAATTTAATTGCACTCTAAATCATTGTTAAATTAGGCAGAACGACAACCGCCATTCTTTTATATTGACGGGATAATTTGAGGACAAAACGTTAGGAAATTGCAGCATTCGTTGATTATAAAAATTAATTTTTGCGACAACATACACTGCAGCGCATGGCAGCTGTGGTTTTCTTTCCGCTTTGAAAATAATCTTCTCGTCTGCTCTCACGTTAAAGAGTTCAATAGAATTCGTTTAAATGAAATTGCCTGACGTATATTCTAGTGGCTAGGAACTCCGGCCCATATATGAAAATGCTAGACTCGATTGCTAGTCCGGTGAGTTTTGCATTGTTTAAGTTTATCTATTTTGTGGTTTCGAAAAAAAACGTAAATAAAAAACACTTCTGATCGCGATTTGGGTCGAGTTTTTGTTAACTATATTGTTTTCACTTTGTCATTGTCTGTGGAATACAACGTCATTCAGATGTCTAACACACGATATCTTATAGGACTGGATCTTTTTTAAAAAACAATTTTCGATAACTTTTCTACATACAGCAGGCAATGTCCGAAAAGTGTACATATTCGGACATTTTCAAAGCGTCAAGAGTTTGAGAGTCGTTCGTGTAGACTCGATCCTTTCCGTAGCTTTAGCTTTTACTATTGATATTATTGTGAAGCGTTGACTTCATTTAATTGAATACAATTGTAGTTATGTTGGAATGATAGAAAATGTAATGGCATAGTGTAATAGTCGACGAAGTTAATAAACATATGTTTAAAATATTGAAAAAAGCATTTATGAAAACTTTTAATAAGTGAAAATACCGAAAATTTGAATTTTAAGAAAAATCACTTAATCAACATGCCCATAGTTAGAGAAACAGGTAAGGAATTATGAAAACATCGTTCTTGTGGGATCAAAGCGAAGTCAGTCTTCCTTTAATAAATTAAAGTTTTTAAAGTAGTTAATGGCGAGCGATCTGCGCCTGTCCATACAACTGTTGGAGTTATATTGCTTGCCGTTCGCGTCTTAAGTCTCAAGTATCTTTATAGTACTAAAAAACTGTGTTCAAAAACTGAAACTTTCGATACGACTCTCAGTCGGTTGTGAGGATCATTGGAATAATTAAAATGTTCGAATAATCAACAAATTGAAGGCACATCGTGATACCATTAGGGTTAAACTACTTCTCACAGAGCGCTGAGATTACGCATAAAATTTTGTATAGAGAGCAGACTATTTTAACAAAGCTATCATCTATTGTGGATTACCATAATTTTCTGATACTTTTTCCTCATAATTCGTATCTGCGTATACAGGGCGAAAGGTTGACAAAATATAAAAGTGTGTGTTTAGTTGTTCCTCTTTTTTTTTTCTACAAAAGAACGTCGAATACGAATATGTTACATATAAAAGCTTCTTTTGTAGTCACTGTAGCAAGAGAATCAATTCGAACAGTATTGCAGTTTAAGTATTTTCTTTATCGCTTAACAAATCTTAACGTAAAATAATCGCGAAATATTTCCAAAACTGTGGTTTGTGAACAGTTTTTTAAGTAAAAAAATAATTCTTGTAGAGGTTATGTTAATATATATGAAAAATGTATTTTATCAGTAAAATAAAAAAACTTCTTAATATTTTAACGGGGCATAAGGTGTTAAAATAATAAATAATATTATCGAAGCTTAATTTTGCAAGACGTTATCTATAAAATTATATTTATTCAGTTCTGTTTATGAATTAATTTCAAATAAAAAAACAAAACTAAAAATTATTTCATAATAATTCTAATAAATATTATGAAAACACTATATCACACACAAACACACTATACATACTTATATATTATATATATGTACATACATGTATATGTATATATACATATAAGGTTAATTAAAATATTCAACGAATTAATTTTCCATTTATATAAAACGCATTTCAGTTTTGTTTTTTTAACATAAAAATACGAATAAAATTTATATTAAAATAAATATAATTTTAAGAGTACGCCTTAGATAGCTGAAAGAACAAGATAATTAAATATTCTCTATTAAGTATTAATACAGTGTGTATATATTTGTATGTATGTAAGACACTTATTTAATTTCACACATTTATATAAATAAATATGGGGATGAAGAAGAAAAACACATCACATTAATTGATAACATAAGCCATACAGATAAAAATATATATACAAATATAAGTATGTGAATATATATATATAAATGGATTCTCTTATTATTATTATTATTATTATTATTATTATTATTTTTTTTTTTTTTTTTTTGTTTTTTAAACAATATTAAAAATTATAATGGTTATGAATATCGGGATTTGTTTGTGTTCTGGGTGATCACTTATACCCGTATATACGAAGTACATGAGCGACTCGACAGCGTATTGTCCGGAATATTTTAATGCCGTCGTTCTTGAATAGTGCAATAAGTAAATCATTTTATTTTTTTCTTTCGCGAAGTTGCTCAAACTTTTTCATTGAT